CGGACTGTGGACGCTGGACTCTGATTCACACGTGAACTTTCCGATACTTTCATTCTCTGTCAGACTTGAGCTGGACATGGTTGGCGTCCATTGTTTGTGATCCAGCCAGGCTTACCCTAGAGTCGGTCTAACGGCGCGACGCCGCGGCCCCGACACCCTGTGCCGTCTGGCCACGGCCCCCCCGGGTGGACGTGGAGCGGCCTGGGTGGCTCCCGCGCTCACGTTGTTCCATGATTTGCTGCTGTGACGCACTTGCCAGCCTCAGACGGTGTGACATCAGGACATCAGTTGGGTCAGATCATGTTGCTCACGTTATGTGACACTGTTATTTCCTAGGACCTATTATTTTAGGTGTCATTAACCAAAATTCCACACTCCCTTATAGTTGCTAAAGAGAGCTCGATCAGTAAATGCTAAAATGATTTCCTCTAGGCTCTTAAATTATCCACCCTAAATTATATGCTTGATGCTCAACTCTAAGCATTTTTTAAATATTGATTATTTCTTAATTATTTAAAATTGATTTCCTGTCATTCTGAATCCATATTTTACCTGGGATGCATGATTCTATTAGTTATGTTTTTGTTTTAACCAAAGCTGACTATCAGGATAAAACACTTAAATTGTTGCCGCCTGGAGACTCTGCTTTCTCCATCTGCATGTCCCTTCACCGCAGCAAGTGTTCAGTCTATAAGACGTTTGGTGACTTTTAAGAAAAAGGTTGGATAATTAATTCCAGAAAGTCCTATACCTTTTTTTTTAATTAAGAACTTAAACTTAGCAGCCAAAATGTAAATTGTAGAGTTTTTTTGTTTTTGTTTTTTTTTTCACTTGGAGATCTTCCTCTGACCCAGTCGCCCGCGTGGCCCAGAAGGACTGTTCACTGAATTTCAGCTGAAACTAGCAGGGCAGGGGCTGCAGACCGCTGAGAACTTGGCACGCTCGCACTCCCACGCGCCCGTTGGGCATAGTCTGCGCGTCTGTGTTTAGACAATCACGGGGACTGCGGTCTGAGGACATGATTTCCCTTCTTTATTTAAATTTTCTATAACAACTTCTGTGGTACCTTCTGTTGTGTTCTTGATATGTTGTTACACCGTGTATCTGTCCGTGCGTGTGTTTAATTTACATGAAAACATGAATTGGGTGGGGGGAGTGGACGGGTCCCAAGTGTCCCCGGACACGAGGAGGTGGCTCCGGGCGCCTCATGGGGACGCGTCGTGCCATCTCAGGCCGCCCTGTGTTGCGTGGCCGCGGGCGGACACACAGGTGCTTGTCAGTGTCCCGTGTGCCCGCCCGCTGTGCCCGCAGCCCCGCAGCCCCACCCCGGCCACGTGCTCTGTTGGCAGAGAGGGGTCATCTCTTGCTTTTACTGTTCCATTTACCTCCTTTGTTGACTATATCTGGGTAATTTGGTGTTTCAAAAAAATGCACAGTATCGTAGGAAGGGAGCATACTAGGCACGTGAGAAGCACACGAGGGTGTGACCCAGAGGCTGACGTCAGAGGCGTTAGCGCAGCAGCAGCTTTTCATCCCAAGAAAACGAAGCCACCTGCCGTTGCCACGTCTCCTGCCTCGGTGTTGCTGCTCCCGCCGACCCCGGGATGAGGGAGCCGCGCCGCCGCCGTCGGTGCCTCCTGGGGGGCTGGCAGGAGGACAGCCCGCCGGCCTGACATTTCTCTGTGGTTGTATGAAGACCGCGGTCTCTGCCTGTGGGTGTAGGGGAAGGTGCTCAGACACTGGGTGTTGACCTTAGTTTGAACTTGGGGTGATGGAGGGGGAACAGGGAGGCTCTGTTAGGCTTCCTCCCCTCCTGTGTGATAGTGCTGACGTTTCTATCAATTTTACATATAATATATGACTATGAAACCATGTATCTCAAGTAACTATAAATCATTGTCTATTATTTAAAGCCAACAAAACAGTGTAACAGTTTTAAGTTCAATAATGTCAAGTATTGTATAAAAATATATCGGAGGCAGAGTTCAGTTGATGACAATTGTGTATATGTTATTGATGCTGTAAATTATTTTTAATAAAGAAAATTGTATTATCACACATCTCTTGCTAGAAAATATTTTGTGGTGATTGAAAATAAGACCCCAGAACTTAAAGAGAACTAGGACGGCCTCCAGAAATTCCTCTTCGGGGATGTTCCCTCCATGCTCGGCACTGATTCCCCACCTGATTCCCGACCTGACCGCCGGGAAGCGAGCCGTGTCTCTCTTGCTGGCCCGGGCTGAGGCCCGAGCGCTCACCCCACGTGGGGTGGCCTCGTGGGAACAGGGGAGCCTGCTCCATGCAAGCGTTGTTCCAGGGGGTTCTCGGGTCCATGGAATCCCATTGCGACAGTTGAAAAGACTGTCCTGTCCCCAGGGCGGGACCCCTTGCACGGGGCAGAGCCAGCGGTGAGGTGGGCAGTGTCTGCTGTCTGAGCAGCCCCATCCCCTTGGCTGAGGTCTGATGGTCTGACAGACTTCACACCACGCTGAAAATACTACCTACAATCGCCTCCCTGCAACAGCCCCGGTTCCGGTCTCCCCGGCGTCCTCAAGCACCTGACGCGCCGGCACACCATGCAGATTCAGGAGGAGCCGGACCAGCCGCGTGACCTGCTGCGGACCCCGTCGTGGAGGGTTTGTGGTCCGGATGACAGCTCGGACAGACTGGTCTGGCGTGCTCGGCTGTGTTACACGGGGGTGGCTCTTTCCTGAGGAGGCAGGCTGGAGATGCGGGGTTTCACATCTGCGTCCCGGCTCCGCGGGCTCACGGGGACTCCCTCCCCGAAGCACAGCTGCCAGGGCCTGGGCCTCCACCCTGGAGCAGTGTGTAATCTAAAAATACCTGCCCTTTGTACCACTTTTCATGGCAGCCAAAATAAGCAATGAGAGTTTATTAAAATTTGGTAGATGTAGGGGTGGGGGGCCCTCAGGGGGTGGGGCCTGGTGCTCTTGATCTTGGGGTCCTGAGTTTACGCCCCGTTGGGTGTAGAGATGATTTAAAAAGAACATGAAAGGGCAGGTCTTTCTAAAGGCGGTGGCATGGGTGGAAAGGGGCCTCTCTGTCCCCATGTCCTGACCCCAGAAGAGCAGAAAGTGGAGAAGCAGACCCGCCGCTGAGGCCAGGCCGCGGTGAGGAGCTGGGCGGGGACCAGCAAGCTGAGCGCCCTGGGCCGGGAGTCAGATTTGGGTTGTGGGTCCCCGAACCGCGCGGGTCAAGGCCCGCCTGACACCCTGAAGGGATTTCCAGAGAAGAGGGTCTACCGCGGCCGCGAAAACGGCCCTGCTCCTTGGAGGTGAGAGCAGAGAGGAGACACTAATGGGGGAAGGAGGCGGCAAGGCAGAGGCTCGGAAACCTCCCGGGGACCAGGGCCAGGCCGTAGTGACCCCCCGGGGGACGGGTGCTGCACCTGCAGGGGTGGGTGCGATGCCTGCGGGTGGGGGGTGGTACCCACTGAGGGCAGGGTGCTGTACCTGCGAGGGGGGTGGCACCTGCGGGGGGGGGAGCATCCTGGGGGGGGGGTGCGGCACCTGCGGGGGCGGGGGGTGGTACCTGCAGGTGTGTGCTGCACCTGCTGGGGGGGGCACCCTCGGGGGGCGGGGCGGGGGGCGCCGCGGCTTCCAGGGGGAGGGGCTCGGGCTCCGGCCCCGCCTCCCGCCCCCCCCCCGTGCGCTGTGCCCGCGGGTCGGAGGAGCGCGTGGGCCCGCGGCGCTGGGAGGGCCGCTCCGTGAGCCGCAAGCCCCGCCGGGGCGGCCGGCGGGCGGGGGGGGGGGGGGGGCGGAGGGACCTACCCGCCGCAGGTGCCACTCAGAGCGGGGCGCCTGCCGAATGGCTGCCCGTAGCGGGGGCGGGGCCTCGGGGAGCCAATCAGAAGCAAGAGGTGCGATTACGTGCGAGGTACCCGGATTCCGAGTGGGGAGGCGGGGCCTGGATGCGGAAGACCAATCAGAGGCCGGAGCCCTCCGGCTGGGGCGGAGCGTCCGCGGGCCAGCCTCGCCCCTCAGCACTGAGCGCTGATTGGCGGCGGGGGACCGCGAGCGGCCAATCAGGAGTCGGGGCTCGCGGGGTCGGGCTGCGGGGGCCGCGGCAGGATCGCGGGCGGCTGACAGCGGTGTCCTCGGAGGGCGCGACTCCCTGCGGGTGAGCGGGCGGGGAGCGGGGCGCGCGACAGCGCTAGGGGTGCCGGGGGGGGGTCCCGGGCTGCAGCCCCCCTGCACCCCGCTTCCCACTTCCTAGGGACCCCGGGGTGGGGAGGGGTCCCGGGCTGTAACCCCCCCGTGCACCCATCTCTCACTCTCCCTGGGGACGTTGGAGGAGAGAAGGGTCCCGGGCTGCAGCCCCCCCGTGCACCCGCCTCCCACTCCCTGGGGACCCCGGGGGGGGAGGGAAGGGTCCCGGGCTGCAGCTCCCGCCCCCCCCCCCGTGCACCCCGTCTCCCACTCTCCCTGGGGACCCCGAGGGGGAGGGAAGGGTCCCGGGCTGCAGCCCCCCCTCCGTGCACCCGCCTCCCACTCCCTGGGAACCCCTTGGGGGAGGGAAGGGTCCCGGGCTGCAGCCTCCCCCACCCCGTGCACCAGCCTCCCACTCCCTGGGGACCCCGGGGGGGGGAGGGAAGGGTCCCGGGCTGCAGCACCCCCCATGCACCTGCCTCCCATTCTCCCTGGGGATGTTGGAGGAGAGAAGGGTCCCCGGCTACAGCCCCCCGTGCACCCCGCCTCCCACTCCCTGGGGACCCCGGGGGGGGAGGGAAGGGTCCCGGGCTGCAGCCCCCCCCCCCCCCGTGCACCCGCCTCCCACTCTCCCAGGGGAAGTTGGAGGAGAGAAGGGTCCCGGGCTGCAGCCCCCCCATGCATCCCGCCTCCCACTCCCTGGGGACCCCCGGGGGGGAGGGTCCCGGGCTGCAGCTCCCCCCCCCCCGTGCACCCCGTCTCCCACTCTCCCTGGGGACCCTGGGGTGGGGATGGGTCCCGGTCTGCAGCACCCCCCTCCCCCCTGCACCCTCCTTCTTTTCCTGCCTCCTGGGTCTCCAGCTCCTCCGCAGTCCTGTGCGCCCCACCAGCCCCTTGCCCCAGGGGGAGGATTCCGAGCCCCCCCTCCCCCCGCGCCCTGTGGGGCCCAGAGCATGGCCCAGGGCAGGGGGCCGTGAGCAGGATGCCCCGAGGTGGAGGCTGCCCAGCCCCTGGAACATCTGGCAGGGAGGGGAAGCCAGGGGACGCCCCGAGTCCGCCCCGAGTCCCCCCGGGACACCTGGCACAGAGCGCAAAGTGTAAGGTCCAGCCCCCCCCCCCCCCGTTGGGACAAAGGTTGTGGGATTCAGGCCCGGCTGTGGGCAGAACCCACTGCGCCCTGGGGGTCTCAGAGCAGCTCAGGAAGGCGCTGTTGGCCACAAGTGTAGACCAGCTACGGCAGGATTTGAATCCTCCTCCTGTCCCTGCTCACGCACCAGGCGTTTGGCTGATGGGAACCTCGCGGACAAACGCATCTTTCTTTTATTTACCTTCAGGAGCTGACTTGATCTGTGCCATTGTTTCATGATTTGAGGCCTTGTAGTCAAAGAAAAAAGGCAATTTTAAGCTCAGAAAGAGAAACTGTGGAAGCCCAGAAAGTTTCTGGGCTGATCTAGTCCGAGCGCAGGCAGCCCGGGTTCCCGCCACGTAGGGGAGCCGGGACCGAAAGGCGCTTCGGTTCTGCCAGCACAGCTACTTTTTGGCCTTCCGATTTTTTTTCCTTATTGCTGTAAAATCTGCTTAACCAGCACCACTAGTTTTTATTGTAGGCTCGAGCTGCCACTTCTTCCGAGGCTCCGCGAGCCCCGTTCAAGGAGGGCCTGGGAGCGTTGTCTAGCCTGGAAGGGAGACTGGCTTCACACTGGCCTGAGGTTCCCTCTGTCTTTAAGGATTTATCTTTATTTTTTTTATTTTTTATTTATTTTTTATTTTTTTGTTTTTCTTTAAGGATTTATAACTGATACCAGACTCACAATTATCCTGAAATCCTTAACACGTTAGGATTCGAAAAACTGTGAGTGCACTTCACCTTGGATTTAAAGCTCTCGAGTATTTTGAATTTAAAGTATTCTGAATCCTGGCCTCACATCAGCTTGTAAATCTCCAGAAGGAATGTTAAATTTTCGTGCCAAGTCTTAAGGCCGAGTACAGTGTGATAGGATACTCTGGTTCCCAGAAGTGTCAGGTGCAGGGGTGACCCCATTCAGCTTTGTCACGTCCTTAGTGAACAAAACTGGAAAGCAAATACTCTGCACAGCAAGTGAACGTGAGACGTGAGTGGCAGGAAGGCAGCACCTGCCACGGGTGCCGGAGCCACGGGGTGGGGGGGGCTGCAGGCAGGCTGGGGGGCAAGTGGGGGAGGGGAGGGGCATTTTAGGCTGAGTTTCTTCTCCGGTCTGGAGGCCCCAGACCACGGTCTTGGGGCTGGGGTGGGAAGGGCGTCCTTTGGGGGAGCCCCAGTGCACCCCCCTGAACTGTATCCCCCTCTCCTCACTGGAGGGAGGCGAGATCCAAGGTGATGAGGCATTAACGGGCAAAGGTGATTAGGGGAGCTCCGAGACGGCCCTAAGACCCCACCCACAACCCCTTGTCCTTGCCAGTGTCTCACAGCGGACTTTTAAAATTTATGTGCAGTGAGATTCACAGATCCTATGCTTAAGTTTTAAGTTTTTTTTTTTTTTTTTTAAGATTTTATGTATTTATGTGACAGAGAGCAAGAGAGAGCAGCAGCAGGGGGAGCAGGAGAGGCAGAAGCAGACCTCCTTGCTGAGCAGGAGCCCAGGACCCTGAGATCATGGCCTGAGCCAAAGGCAGGCGCCCAAAGGGCCAAGCCACCCAGGTGCCCCAGGTTTTAAGTTCTGACCCATGTATACGTCCGTGTAAGCAAAGCATAGTCAAGATACAGACGTTTCCCTCCGGGAAGTTCCATCCTACAACCTCCCTGCCCGAAGCAGTGGCAGCCCTGCTCGCGGAGGAGCTGACCGTCGTTGAGATTCTGTGTCCCACTGCGTCCCTTGAGCAGCTGTCCACATCATGCCCTAAGTGCAACCCGCTGTCTGCGTGCCAGCCACACTTTTACCCTGGAAGCGTGCCCCATGAGCTGGCTGGTGAGGTTTTCAGCAGGACTTGTGGCTGGGGGAGGATGGCCACCGCGTCTGAATTTCTATTTTAGCCCCAAACCGAGGGTTGTGCGGTCCAAGGGTCGTGACCTCCCTTTCGGAGCCTTGAGAGCCACGTCCTTCCTGTAACTTGGTGTGTCCCTGCGGGCGAATGCTTCCCGTCTCCTGTGACGCGTCCCGGGGCGGGGGGGTGGGTGGGTGGGGTGCATGGGCGAGGCGGTGCCCAGTGCTCGTACCGCGTAGTCTGTGCAGGGCCCCTGGAATCTGCCCTTCGGCCTCGAGGCGAGCGTAGAGATGGCTCCTGCTACGGGGGGGCTCACCTGCCCAGACCCCCCACTTCTTTATCTCCTTTGCTGATTCGACTTGTTCAACTTTATGAGTGAAAATCAATAAGAAGGGATCCCTGGGTGGCGCAGCGGTTTGGCGCCTGCCTTTGGCCCGGGGCGCGATCCTGGAGGACCCGGGATCGAATCCCACGTCAGGCTCCCGGTGCATGGAGCCTGCTTCTCCCTCTGCCTGTGTCTCTGCCTCTCTCTCTTTCTGTGTCTCTCATGAATAAATAAATAAAATCTTTAAAAAGAAAAAAAAAAAGAAAATCAATAAGAAGCAAGGGGTCCGTGTGGAGCAACATTGTTGGTCTTAAGGAAGCGCATCTAGGGAAACGGTGACATCTGCGCCCCTTCGGGTCTGTTCCTCAGAGACAGCATGTCGCGCGGGGACTCCGCTCAGCCAGCCCGGGCCCTCGCCAAGCCCGCCTTCAGCGACCCGCAAGCCTCCGCGCTCGTGGAGTCGGTGTTTGGCCTCAAGGTTTCCCAGATCCGGCCGCTCCCTAGCTACGACGACCAGAACTTCCACGTGCGCGTGGCGGGAGCTGAGGGCGGCCTGGGCGGTCCCGGCGAGTACGTCCTCAAGATCAGCAACGCGGAGGCCAGCCGGACGCCGGAGCTGCTGCAGGTGCAGACGCACGCCCTGCTGTTCCTGAGAGCCGCGGGCCTCCCCACAGCCTCCGTGTGCCGCTCGAAGGGGGGCGGCCTCACCTCCCTCGTATCCGCAGGTAAGACACCCTGCCTCGCGCCGCCGGCCTTGCTCCCCGCCGCATTCAGGTTCCCCTGAGAAAAGCACCTGGAACAGGTAGGGAACCGCAGGTGCGGCCTGGGCCCTGCTCCCCTGGCGGGGGCAGCCAGGCCACCAACTCGGACAGCGGGCTCCCATCCCCAAGTGCCTGGAGCCCGATCTTGTGTCACTTCCCCGAGGATGGCCTTGGGGGGTTGCCTGGGGCCCAGGCCGGGGTCCCGGGTCCTGAGATGGAGCTGCGAGTGGGCTGCACGCCTGGCAGGGCGTCTGCGCCTCCCCCTCTGCCCCTCCGGCTTCTGGGCTCTGTCGCTTCCTCTCTCTAGTAAATCAACGTCAAAAGAAAAAGAAAGGACTTGAATAATCACTAAAAGCACGTGGGTTTAGGGAAACTCGTTTTCAAATATAAAATTAAGTCCTTTTCTTCGTGCGGCCGGCTGTGTATTTGCGGCCGTGGGGTAGAAGAAAGCCAGAGTCAGGAAGCAGGGCGTCTGACGGGGCTCTGTCCTTCCTGCACGGGGGCCACAGGGCACAGCACCTGACGTCCCCCTGCTGCGAGTCCTCGTCTGTGCAACGTGGGTCTTTCACGTAAGTGCTGAGGCTCCGAGATGAATTTGGCGGCCGGGGAGCAGTGCGGGGTGTCCTGGAGCAGCTTGAGGCCTCGCTGTCCCGGGGTCCGCGCTCCCCGCCAGCGGCTGAGGGTCCCGTGCTGTGTGGGCGCCTCCCCGGGCCCCGGGGGAGCCTCCAGGCCCGCGGCCCTTGCCTCACAGTTCTTGAGGCTGAGCCTACGGGGGGCGGTCGTGCGCCCTCCCAGGGCAGGCGGTGGGCATGCGGGCTGTGGGTGTCAGGCGTGCAGGTGTGCAGGTGTGCGGGCGCTGGGTGTGCCTGTGCGCGTGGCCAGCCCCCGCCCCGCTCAGCCCTGCCGCCTTCCCGCGGGGGTGCCCCCGGTCTACGGCCCCCGCTGCGCTCGGCAGGCACAAGGACTAAGGCCGAGCGGCCCGTCGCCGTTCCGACCGCGGTTGACAGCATGTCCTTGCACCACCCAGATGGCGGCTCCCGCGTCACCAGCTACGTGGTGAGGCTGCTGACCTACCTCCCGGGGAGCCCGGTGGCTGAGGTCCCCGTCGGCCCCCCGCTCCTGTACGAGATTGGAAGGCTGGCTGCCAACCTGGATGAGACGCTGGAGGTAGGATGGGGCTCGGCTCCTGTACTAGGGTGTGGCTGTGCTTGGGGTGCATCCCTCCCCTGTGACCGGTAAACCCAGGCTCAGACCAGGCCCTGCCGTGGGGTGTCGGGCAGGGGCTCGGGCCGGTGCCGCTGGGGCCGCACCTGTCGCAGCTGACCCGGTGTCTGAGCGGTCCTGGGGTTCCCGGGCTGCTGGACGGCTGCCGAGGGCCTGCCTTGACTGTCCCGCATCCACCGCACCCCCGTGCCCCGCGTCCGCTCCTCACGAGGTCCACAGACGACCGTGGAACCTGCCGGTGCTCCTGGCTGCCCGCCGGCCCTTACCCGGCCTGTCCCCATCCCCGCCCCGACGGGCCGCCCTGTCTCCGTGTCCGCACACCTGCCGCTGCCCGAGGCCCCAGTAACCCTCCACGCTCACTATGCGGCCCATGGCTCGGGCATCGCCTGGCCTGTGACCCGCCCCGGCCCCTTCTCTCCCCCGCTGTGCGTGGACCATCACGTGCTCCTCTTGCTACTTCTGGGCGCCCTGTGGGTTCCTGCGGGTGACGGGCTGCACCCCTCGTTGGGGACGTCTGTCCCGGGAGCGGCGAGGAAGCTGCGGGGCCGAGGGCAGGGGGCCGGCCTTCCGTCCTGCGCCCTCCCTGGGCTCCCCGGGGCCGCAGGCCTCTGCTCCTCCCGCGTCCTAGTTCATGGCAGGCCTGGGGGCTGCTGCGGCCCCGCGTGCGGCCGCTGGGGAAGCCGAGCGAGCTGCCCCGGTAGCGCCCAGAGCCCGGGCCTGCGATCCGCGCCGAGCCCAGCCCCCTGCTGCGGGTGCGGGCCCAGAACCTCCCTGGGGGCCGCGGCTCCATTGGGAGCCGGACGCGGGTGTTAGATTCTACTTTCTCCCCAAACGGAAGTAAGAGTCACGTGTGGCAAAGCCTTCGGAGGCCCCGCCAGGGCCCAGTGACCACTTTGTGCCCATCCTACCCCGAAGGCCGGCATCTGGCGTGCGCGCTGCTCTCGCGGCCTCCCCAGCCTCGACCCGAGCGGCCATGCGGGGCCGTGACAGATGTGGAGGCCTGGCTGGGAGGCGCCTCTGCAGGGGGATGCAGGGGCCGGCGTGCCGCTGGTGGGGACGCCCTGCTGCTGCCCAGGCCCCCCAGGTCTCCGCTTGGGCTGCGAGCTCCCTGCCGAGGTCCTCAGAGCAAGGCCGCGGGGGAGGGTCAGACTCCAGGGCTGCGCACTGATGTCAAAGTCAACGAGAGGAACGCGTTTAAGGAAAGGGAACAAAATACAAAGCTCCAGAATCTGTCTCGCGCGGCCGCCCACGAGCCCCGCCGCCCGCCCCCTTTCGAGCCATTTCGGCCTCCACAAACAGCCAGCGGTCAAAGTCTCCAGGCCCTCGACGTTCTAGGCTTTTCCCAGAACTCTCATTTATTCAGCAAATATTGCTTGAGCAGCGTGTTTTGTGTACCGGGCACTGGCGGGGGCGCGGGGATAAGGTAGTGCACGGACAGCGGACACGCCCCAGCCTTGCTGCTAGTGGTAGACGGGAGGGTGAGCTCTGGGGGTGTACTGTGCGGGACAGAGGGCTCCCCTGGACCTCCGGGAGCCCGCCCACAGCACAGCTGGCAGAAACCAAGGCCTGGCCTGCGGTGTGGGCAGGAGCATCCCAGGACGGGGAGCAGCAGGTGCAGAGGCCGTGAGATGGGGGGGCGGCAAGTGCAGACACCATGAGGTTGGGGGGCAGTAGCAGGTGCAGGGGCCGTGAGGTGGGTGGGGGAGCAGCAGGTGCAGGGATGGAGAGGTGGGGACGGAGGAGTGGCAGGTGCAGGGGCCATGAGGTGGGGGGTGAGCGGCAGGTGCAGGGACAGAGAGGTGGGGGTGCGCTGGCACGTGCTCCTTCCACGGGAGGCCTGGGTGGCTGGAGGTGACGAAGCAGGAGTAGGGGAGGCTGAGTCGGAGAGGGGCCAAGGGGCCGAGGGCCCGCGTGTGTCACGTGGGGAGAACGCAGCTCTTGCTGACCGGCCAGCCCCTGCCTTGGGGGCCAGGTGACACGGGGCTGTGCCCACGGACTCCACGGGCTCTCCGCGTGGTCGCTCCAACCGGCAGAGGCCAAGCGTTCCTTGTCTTTGATTTAGAAATTCCATCACCCAAAGTTAAGTTGCCTTCGTCGGGAGAACTTTATCTGGAATCTGAGAAATGTTCCTCTTCTGGAGAAATATGTGGACGCCTTGGGCCAGGGCCGAAACCGCGAGCTTGTCGTCCGGGTAATTCAGCTCTTCAAAGATGAAGTCCTGACCAAACTGAAGCATTTTCGAGAATGTGAGTCTTCTCCTGATCGAGTGTTTTTCTTGACAATTTAAATTGTCAACTGTCAGAGCATCAGAAAAGTGTGGAAGGACAACGTAGCTTTACCACATCTTAAGATTTTGCCATGTTGCTCCTGCTGCTTTTTAAAGAACAGTATTTGTGCTTTCCTTACAATTGCTGCACTCGAAGTCCTCTCTGACCTTTACTCGGTCACCTCCTCCCTCCCTACTGAATTTGCACATGTTCTAATATCGCTGTGATTTATGTTCATAGGTTATGTGCGTGCATGTTTTCCAGATTGATCCATTTAATATATGGTAGTTCCAGTTCGCTTAGCTTATTTTTTTTTAAGATTTTTTTTTTTTTAATTTATGATAGTCACAGAGAGAGAGAGAGAGAGAGGCAGAGACACAGGCAGAAAGAGAAGCAGGCTCCATGCACCGGGAGCCTAACGTGGGACTCGATCCCGGGTCTACAGGATCGTGCCCTGGGCCAGAGGCAGGCGCCAAACTGCTGTGCCACCCAGGGATCCCTTTTTTTTTAAGATTTTAAGAATCTATTTGAGAGAGCAGGGGGAGGGGCAGAGGGGGAGGGAGACTCCCCGCCAAGCAGGGAGCCTGATGCGGGCCTCGATCCCAGGACCCTGGCAGACGCCCATAACTGCCGAATACTAACTACTGCAGAGCGCGTGTGCACCACACCTGACTTGAACGTACTGGACCTTTTTGGTCACTTATGTTAATAGAATTTAGGTTGGTCCTCGCTTCCCCGTGCTCCAGGGAGCGCCTGGCTCTGTAGGGACCCAGCCGGTACTCTCCGGGTGTAGGCGGCCTTCGGCGGGCGGCAGGCCCGTCCAAGGACACGAGGGCCGGTACCCGGCAGGCCACGTGGGCTGCATCCTCCTCGGCTGCACACAGCCCGCGGGGCTCACGCAGCACGCGTCCATCTCACGCTTCTGGAGGCTGCACACGGGAGGTTGAGGTGCCGGGGGCGGCCTTCCTTCCCTGGCTGCAGCCACCTCGTCCCTCCGGAGTCTCTTCTTGGGCCCCACACTCGGGCTCACCCCGACCCATTCCCTCCGGTAGGCCCAGCTCCCAATGCGGGGGCTCGGGGCAGGGGTCAGTGCACAGCGCCCCGGGGTATAAGCACGCTGCAAGGCCACGGCACCCCGCCCGCGAGCACTCCGTCCCGTGCTGTTGGCCGCCTGCGCGTGGACCCGGCCAGCCCAGGAGGTCGCGGCCCCGGGGTCCTCAGGGGCTCAGATGCTTCCAGCTCTCCTTGCAGGTGCGCCCTGCCTTTAACTTGTGACCCGCACCGTTACCACCCGGTGCCCCCTCTGGGCTGCTGGCCCTGGACGGCGCGAGGCCTGCGGCAGGACCGCAGGGCCCAGGACACGCCGCGCGCAGCTCGACCCGAGGACGTCGGGCAGCTCCCAGAGAGCAGGGAGCCTCAGGCTTTGCTCCGGAGGGTGCGGGGACTCCCGCCAACCTGACAGACGGAGCAATCTCTCGCGGCAGCTCTACCACGATGTCCCTATCCGGGAAATGCCGCTTGCATAGACTTAGGCGAAGGGGCCACTCGAGTCAGTTTTTCTACTGGGATTTTTTTTTTCTCATTGATTTTAGAAGTTCAGAGTATTTTCCGGATACAAATCCTTCTTTGGTTCGGTGCGTTGCAGATACTTTCCCCCATTCTGGGGCTTGCCTTCTCGCTCTCTTTATGATGCATTTTGACAAACAAGCCTCCATTTCTTGGCTTCAAATATATCAACTTTCTGTTCCATGGTTCGTGTTTCACGGCTTGTTTAGGAAATTTTCCCTACCTCGGGGTCACGAAGACATTCTCCTGTGTTATCTCACTACAGCGTTATCGTTTCTGCGTTTCATTATAGGTCTATAAACCATCTGGAATTTACGTACGGTGGGAATTTTTCCAGTGGCCAGTAACTTTTTCCCCAACGCGTATTAAAAGGCTCTCTTTTCTCCCTTTGCTTTGCAGAACCACCTCTGCTATCAATCAAATTCCCTGGGGCTCTCTATTCCATCCCCCTGTTCTGTTTGCCTCTCTCTGCTCCCGTACTGCGCTGCGGATCCCCTCGGCCAGGTGATGCTGCGGTAACAAGTAGCTCCCGGGACTGCAGTGGCAGAGACTTAGTTCTAGCTCAAGCTGCACGTCTACCCTGGACTGGCCAGGGTTCTGTTCTGTGCATTCTCTCACTTTGGGATCCACACGGATGGAACTTTCACCAACTAGAGTATTGCTGTCGTATGGAGAAAGAGAACGTGCGGCACTGTACGCTGGCTCTTAAATCTCTGCCCTGAAGTGGTCACTTCTGTTCATACGTCGAGGGCCAAAAAAAGTCACATGGCCATATGCAGCTTTTTCAGGAACAGGGAAGTGCAACCCAGCATGTTCCAAGAAGGAGCACAACCGGAATGTTTGTGATTACCTCCAAAGATTACCGTGCTGTCTTAATTTTTTGACTTTTACGGTTTCATAGCTGATAGAATATGTCCTCCCATCTTTTTATTCTCTTCTAAGAGGGTCTTGACTGGTTTTTGTCCTTTACATTTTGATTACATGTCAATTTTGGAGTCAGCATGTCACATTTTTAAAGAATTTTGTTGAGACTTTGGTTAGATTTGGATTGAATCTGTATATAAATTTGGAACATGGGTAGTGTAGTATATTTATGTTATACTTAAAAGATTTAGTACTCTAATCCACGAACATTCGTCTAGTTATACAGATCTGTGGATGTTGGTGATGGCATTTTTAGTCACCTTTTCTTTTTAAGTCTTTTTTTAAAATTTTTTTAAAATTTATGATAGTCACAGAGAGAGAGGCAGAGACACAGGCAGATATTTTTTTTGCCTTAAATATCTACTCCATCTGATGCTATATAGCTACACTATCTTATTTTGTACTCTTCATTTTTTTCTGTCTGTTCCAATTCTTTCTTTTCTTTTCCCCTCTTCTTTTGCCTTGTTTTCGAGGTAACTTTTTCCATGATTGTATTTTTTTCCATCCAGAAGTTTGGAAACTATATGCTGTATTTCTACTCTGAGTGTGGTTACCCTAGAGATTCTCATGTGTGGCCCTAACTTATCAAAGTGTAATGTTACCCAAGACAACACAAGGACCTAAAGATACTTTAAGTACATTTATCGCTGTTCTGGCTTAGAAGCTGTTTTAGTAAACTTTAAATCTGTATTTTTATTCTCCAAAAGTCATTATTATTTTTCACAGCCACGTTTAGATTTCCTCGTATATTGGTTTCATATCTTCCTGCACCTCGGACTTTCAGCCCACCATCATTTTTTTCCTGCCTGAAATACATTACTTAGAATCTCCGTAATGCAGTTCTCTGATGGTGAACGCTCTCTGATTTTGTCTGAAAAAGTTTTTACTTTTCCCCTAATGAGGGGAAGGGTATTTTCACACCCTATAGGACTTCGGGTTTCCGGGTTTTCAGACTGTCTCCTAGCTTCTCCATCCCTGCTAAGAGGTCAGCTGAGGTCTGCGGCTCCTCTCCAGACCACCTGCATTTTTCCCTTTGCGGTTCTTGCATAGGATGTTCTCTTCTTCTTAATTGATTATTTTTCTTAATATGCTTTCTCAAGTCTGTGTGAGGAATTGTCTTTCATCAGTTATGGGAAATTCTTGCCTAGCCCCATTCTCTTTCCTCCTTTTGGGCTCCAGTTAAGCTCGTTTGGTCTTCTCACTGAATCTTCTGGGTCTTCCCATCTGTGTGTGCAGATTTTATTCTGTGCCCATGCTCCATTTTAGGTAATTCTCTAATGCGACCCCTAGTTTATTATTTTTTTATGTCTAATCTGTTATACCCACTCACTGCATTAATTTCTTTCATTATATTTTCCAGCTTTAGAAGTACTTTTCTTTTTTTAAAAAAAGATTTTATTTATTTATTCATAGACACACAGAGAGAGAGGCAGAGACACAGGCAGAGGGAGAAGCAGGCTCCATGCAGGGAGCCTGATGTGGGACTCGATCCCGGGTCCCCAGGATCACACCCCAGGTTGCAGGCGGCGCCAAACCGCTGTGCCACCGGGGCTGCCCTAGAAGTACTTTTCTAATTAAAGAAATTTTAAATTATTTTTTTGTTTTAACTTCAGTATAGTTAACATGCAGTGTTTCAAGTCCACACTCTAGGGACCCGCCCTTCCATGTAGTACTCCGTGCTCATCTCCATAAATGCACCCTTTAGTCCCTGTCACCTGATGCATAGTTCTTCCGGTAATTCTTCCAGAGTCATTGCCCTGTGTCCAGAGAACTTACCGTATAATCAGGTACCATGAGCAAGAGCCAAAAGAAACTAACTTGCGGGGCTCCAGGCTGGCTCAGTTGGTAGAGCCTGCGACTCTTGGTCTTGGGGTTGTCAGTTCAAGCCCCATGTTGGATGTAGAGATTACTTTAAAAAATTTTTCTTAAAAAAAAAAAAAAACTAACTCAAAACTGAATCAAAGACTTTGGTAACTACAGTGACTTGACATAAACGTATCACACAGCCGCCTGGGGTTGCAGTTAGGTTCAAGGCTCTGCTTTGGTCCTTCTGCCTCTGTGGGTTGGTAGTAGACTGGTCATCCTTTTACGAGTTTGGAAGGTCTGCCCACCGCTGCTCCGCTTCAGGTGGTGAGGCCTCTCCTGCACCCAGCACCCAGCGGCAGGCAGCATGTCCAGCACCCGTCCTCCCAGGGGGAGGTGAAGCACCGCGGCTCTGGAGCACAGGAGGCAGGCCCGAGGCTGCATTCTTGCTCACTGCTTGGCTTTTCTATTGTTTCTTAGTATATGGATCTGGCTTTTGAGGCTGGCTGTACCTTTACTTTCACTTTTTATTTCCATCTCTACTATGTTGTACACAGAAGGGTTATCAAAGAATGAATTCACTTGGCCCTCTTGATCCGAATGCCTTCGCTTTCTTTCTCAAATCCAACGTTTGTCATGTTTTTCCCAGGCCTTAAATCACACTGTCATTTCTTGATGGGCCACTGGGCGTGAGAATAGAAGCGATAAGATGCTTGCATATAACAGATTACATTCACGAAGTAACGTATTTCATGGATTCTAAAATCCCAAGCGATTGCACAAGATGAACCATTACTTTATCTCTAAGGAAGGAAAAACATTGCCAGGGAAACAGTGACACGGCATCCGTCATATAACGCATCCCAATTTCACAAATGTGTAGTTTAGGATCTGTGGTTTGCAATAATGTTCATCGTTTCTACATGTGCTAAATCACGTAAGCACACTTTATGCAATCCCAAGTCACACAGAAGAAATCGGCATTACGCTCAGGTGAGTGTTTTGCACTCCCTATCACACACTTATCATAAAGCGCATGCTCCATGCTCTCGGACACCCTTGTCTTTTCTTAATCCTTAATTAGGGTTTTAAATCAGAATGTTTCAGACTGTACCCAATGGAGGACAAGTATAGTTTTTTCCCCAACCCACGACAGTCTGCTGCATGAGCCTACTGTTCATGACCAGTTCACGACTTCCTGTGTGAATTCGGTAACACCAAACTGGCCTGTACTCTGTTAATGAGATGTGTCCACTGATCACACTCTTAGATGACAACTTGCTGTAAAATTTTCTAAAACCCTCAATTTCTGTTTTTATCTCATACAGACTAGTAAGCATTTATGGAACAGCACTGACCACAGACCCCCACTTTGGGTAGTACTCACTTGAGATTCCAGCATCTATTCTAGCAATCAAGAGACTGGAAAAAATCAGAATTACTTTATCATATTTTTTTTTGAAATCCCAGATTAAAATAAAGACATATCTGGCTCCTTCTAGGACTCTTGGCTCTTTTTTTTTTTCTTTTTAAAGATTTTTTTTTTTTTAATTTTATGTAATCTCTACATCCAGCACAGGGCTCGAACTCACAACCCCAAGATCAAGAGTCACATGCTTCACTGACTGAGCCAGCCGGGTGCCCCTTAGGACCCTTTGTTTCTTATGACAATATGAACATATGTATATTCTTTTTAAACATTTCTGGATCGGGGCAGTTCCGCCTTGCCCTTCACTCTGTTAGTGGTCAGAACCAGGTGTTTGCAACAACTACAACCTCTGTTGAATGGCCTTGTACCGATTAGAAACAAAAGCAAATACAACCACTGAAATTAACTTCTTTTTTCCCTTTCGGAGAAAATTATTTTATTGCAGGACAAATAGGGTTTGGCTCTACCTCTGACTGCTCATCACATCGGAGTGGCTGTGCCCAAGAAACAGGAAATGGGAAGACAATGAAGTGGGGAATTCAATGTTTTCACATGGCTTGGTTTTTCTCCTTTTAGGTCTCAATCATGGGGATCTTAATGACCATAACATCCTAGTGGAGTCCAGTAAGTCAGCCTGTGGAGATGCTGCGTATCAAGTGTCTGGGATTTTAGACTTCGATGACATGAGCTATGGCTACTACGTGTTTGAAGCGGCCATTACCATCATGTACATGATGATTGAGAGCAAGAGTCCCATGCACGTGGGAGGTCATGTCCTGGCGGGGTTTGAAAGTGTCATCCCGCTGACGCCTGTGGAGAGGGGAGCTTTGTTTCTACTCGTGTGCAGTCGCTTTTGCCAGTCCCTGGTCATGGCGGCGTACTCTTGCCAGCTACACCCAGAGAACGAAGAGTATCTCATGATTACTGCAAAAACTGGGTGGAAGCACTTGCAGCAGTTGTTTGACCTGGGCCAGAGAGCTGTAGAGGAAATCTGGTTTGAAACTGCCAGGTCCTACACCTCCGGGCTTTCCATGTGACTGGAATTGCACAGCAGGGACCAGATCTGGTCCTACGAAGCACTTCCCTGCACAGTAAAGACGACCTGATGGAGGTGACCGGTGCACAGGAAACCACCAAGGACGTCAAGCACTCTCATGACCACTCTTCAGATTTAAGAAAGGACCGCCTGAGCAAGCCTGTCTTTCTGGGGGTCCTGCTGGCCTTGTGGATAAAACACGCAGAGTGAGGTTTGCACTCAGATAAGCTCTCAAGGTCTATTCCAGCCCTGGGATCAATGACTGTTTTAAGCTCTGAAAGGAATACATATGTTTAGATAAATTCGCATATTTTAAATAATTGGGCATAACACAGACACCCGTTAACACATCTCCACTCTCGTGGAGCCTTCTCCCATTGCTCCGTTTTTCTAGGACCCCACAGTACTCCGTCTTCATGGATTATGACGGTAGCCTAAGGCTATTTGAGGGGCAGAGACTAGTTCTGTCTCTCGTCTCTTTTTTGTTTTTTTTAACACCCGATATACTGCTTTCCTTGTGGTTTCAAAAAGATATTTTGCACGCATAATTGCAAATTGATGTACGCTAAAAGAAAGGCATGTGAAGACAAGGCACAGACTAAGATGTCTTAGGAGGAAGCAGACACACTGCTGCTAAGAAAAAGTTCTAACTTGCTTGAGTGGGCAGTTGAGGCTGGAATGCTAGGGATGGAGGCTGGAAGATTCTGGGCCTGCTAGGGAGCCATGGAAGACATCCGGCAAGGCCACCAGCTCCTGAGGTTTTCATAGTGATACTGAGAAAGTGTCTAAGCAGATCACTTAAAATTTGCTCTCATTTATGGCTCTTTTCATATGAATATGTGATGACCTGTAGCTCACCGTATACCAGACGTGAATCATACCACGGTTTCCTTCACGGAGTTCTCGTCATGCCTCCCTTACTGTGATTTATTAAAGGGCTGTTTACTCACTCGTGTGGGTTTATCTGTTCCCTAAGACGTCTCAGGTCTACAACCCTGGCCATTGTCTCTTTCGCTATTTTTTTTTAAGATTTTATTTGTAGGGATCCCTGGGCGGCGCAGCGGTTTAGCGCCTGCCTTTGGCCCAGGGTGCGATCCTGGAGACCCGGGATCGAGTCCCACGTCGGGCTCCCGGTGCGTGGAGCCTGCTTCTCCCTCTGCCTGTGTCTCTGCCTCTCTCTCTCTCTGTGTGACTATCATAAATAAATTTAAAAAAAAAAAAGATTTTATTTGTTGGGGGATCCCTGGGTGGCTCCGTGGTTTGGTGCCTGCCTTTGGCCCAGGGTGCGATCCTGGAGACCTGGGATCGAGTCCCACATCGGGCTCCCTGCATGGAGCCTGCTTCTCCCTCTGCCTGTGTCTCTGCTTCTCTCTCTCTCTCATGAATAAATAAATAAAGTATTTAAAGAAAAAGATTTTATTTGTTCATGAGAGACACAGAGACCTAGGCAGAGGAAGAAGCAGGCTCCCTGTGGAGATCCCGACTCGATCCCGGGACCCCAGGGTCACGCGGTGGGCCAAAGGCAGGCGCTCAACCGCTGAGCCCTCCCTGAAAGCAGGGATCCCCTCGCTTTCACTATTTATGAATAGCCATTGCTTCTCTGTCTCTGGGGTCGCCTCAGAAGAAATTCAGGTGTAGTTGATAGGGGTTTATTGTGAAAAACAAAAGAGGCTCCTCTCTCCCCCACCATTTGGGAGATTACAAGAGTTTTAGAGGCTTTGTGCCAGGACCAGGATGAAGATCAAATCTGTATTTCTTATTATATTATAGTATCTTACCAAAGAATAGTATCTTATGTATTTACAGTATTTTACATGCATTACTTTTTTATTTTTTTAAAATTTATTCATTCATTCATTCATTCATTCATTCATTCATGATAGACATAGAGAGAGAGAGAGAGAGAGAGAGAGGCAGAGGCCCAGGCAGAGGGAGAAGAAGGCTCCATGCAGGGAGCCTGATGCAGGACTCGATCCCAGGTCTCCAGGATCGCACCCTGGGCCGAAGGCAGGCGCTGAACTGCTGAGCCCCCCAGGCATCCCCTTTTACATGCGTTACATCATTTAGCCTCCACAACAAACCCATGAGAAAAGTAGCGCTGTGATTAATCCCCATTTTCAGATGAGGAATTTGCTTAAAGAGAGCCAGGGTCCAATCCTCTCCTTCCCACACACCACGCATGCAGGTGTGAGCGCATCTCTGTTAGGATCAAATGAGATGACTTATGCTTCTGAAATTTAAGGTGTGGTATATATTTTTAAGATTTTATTTTATCATTTTTTAAAAAGTAATCTCTTAAACATGAGGCTTAAACTCTTTACCCCAAGATCAAACTGACTGAGCCAGCTGGGCACCCCACACTTTTTTTTTTTTTATCTAGTTTGACCATTCAGGAAATTGGGGACCAGAAAAATGACCCGAATCTTGGATTCCACTCCTAGACTATCATTCTTTCTCTTACACCGTGAAACTCGACAGATTCCCTTCTCACTTGCTCCCGCTAACATGGGTTCTCCCTCCCTGAATTCCTAACACAGACATTGGGGGCCACTATCTTGATGTTTAAACACCCACGGCCTTGCGTTGATATTTAAACCCGTGTTTGTCCTTATCTCCAGGCTGTTGGTTCCACGTAGTTTTAGACTCTGGGGGCACAGGGGCACCTGGCCGTCTTAGTGGTAGGGCCTGGGATTCCTGATCTTGGGGTTGTGAGCTGGAGCCCCACATTGGGTGTAGAGATTACTAAAAACAAATTAGAAAAAAATACCTCTTTGGCGTCATAAATTGAATACTACATACCTCCCGATGTCTTCAGGACCTGTTTCCACGCTGGCGGCTTGCACACCCTCAGGACACTGCTGGATTGAATGCGTTTGCACAAGTGCCCAGCACTGTCCTTCCCACCATCGAGGAGAAAACCCACTTCCAGATTTGGGGATCGGTACCGAGCGCCCAGCGGCCTCTGCTCTTGCAAGGGTCCCTTTCTGCGCAGGTGCCCCTCCCTCCACGCTGCAGAGCCTCCCTTCCTGCTGCTCTTACCTCGTCCTCTTAGGGGCAGGTACTGCGCTAGAGCTACGGGGATTGGGGGGGGGGGGGAGTTAACCTGAACCTTGGTGGCCGAATCCTCAATCATTACGGTCTCTGGGATCCTGCAGGTTGGCAGGCAGCACTGGGCCCGCTGGTCTCCCCCCACGAGGGCCCGGGCCTCCGCTGGGAAGACACACGAAGGAACAGTGGGTGGCTGGGAGACACGCTGACTGCGACTGGACTGCCCGGAACCATCGTCACGCCCGGGCCTGGCAGGTGATGCTGGGGCCTCGTTGGGCAGGTGGCAGGACACCTGCCCCTGTTCTAGGAACCGCTGTTCCAAGGGCACAAGACAGAAATGTGTTCTCTCTGACCGACCGCTGGAAGCCTTAGGAGGTCACTTCTGCGGTCACAGGTGCAGCCAGACTCGGGGCGGGGCCTCCAGCCAGGAGGGGAACCCTGGGATGGGAGAGGATCAAGCCTCCGGTGCCTTCACGCCCTGGAACCTGCAGGAAAAGGAACACTTGGTAGAGGGACCCCCAAATGCTTCCCTCTGTCCTTCCCACTCTCCCCGGCGCTGGCCGCTGCTCCCGCGGCCCTCCCCGGCCCTCCCCGACCCTCCTGCTCAGCTCCCTCAGCTTGGACGGCTGGCTCCCTCAGCTAGCACGGGGACTGGGGGGGGGGATCCCCGGGACTCTGAAGTCACGAAGTCACCCTTGGGCCTGAGGATGCCCTCGGGGGTGGGGGCCTAGGGGGGTGACCCGCAGGGGGGGGCTGGTGACCGCGGGGGTGGGGCTCGGGGTGTGACCCGGGGGTGACCTGGGGGTGGGGGCTGTGACCCTGGGGGGGTGACCCGCGGGGGTGGGGGCCTGGGGGGGTGACCCATGGGGGTGGGGGCTCGGGGGGTGTGACCCTGGGGGGGTGACCCTGGGGTGGGGCTCGGGGTGACCCGCAGGGGTGGGGGCCTGGGGGGTGACCCGTGGGGGTGGGGGCTCGGGGGTGTGACCCTGGGGGGGTGACCCGCGGGGGTGGGGGCCTGGGGGGTGACCCGGGGTGGGGGTGACCTGGGGGGTGACCGCGGGGTGGGGCCTGGGGGTGACCCGGGGGTGGGGGTCGGGGTGTGACCCTGGGGGGCCGGTGGGGGCCTGGGGGGTGACCCTGGGGTGGGGTCGGGGGTGACCTGGGGGGTGACCCGCGGGGTGGGGGCCTGGGGGGTGACCCGCGAGGGGTGGGGGCTCGGGGGGTGACCCGGGGCGGGTCCTGGGCCGTGTTCGGGGCTCACCCCGAGCGCGCGGGAGGCTGCGGGCGGGAGGCGGGGGGCGGGGGGCAGGCAGGGCGTCCGCGCCGCCTCGGAGGTCCCCCAGGAGGGAGGACGCTCAGCGCCCGCGCAGAGTCCCAGCCTCGCCGCCCAGGACCACAGGCCGCGCTGCCGCCCAGGGACCCGCGAGGCAGGAGCGGCGGGCGGCTCGCGGAGGGGGCGGCGTGGGCGGCGGGGCGGGCGGGGGCGGCGGGCCGCCGGGAGCCCCCACGGCACGCGGACGGCTGCCCAGCTCAGCGACTGCGGCACAGGCGGAGGCCGGGGGTCCGCGTGCTGGGGGAGCTCCGCCCCGCCCCCGGCCCCGCCCCCGCCGCCCGACTTCCGGGTCCGCGCCGGCGCCGGCCCCGCCCCCGTGTTCTGCGCACGCGCGGGCGCCATATTGGCAGCGGCAACTCGGCCTCGGGAGTGTCGGCGAGGTTTCTTCCGCGAGGAGCGTGTCGGCGTCGGTCTGTCCTCTTCCGTGTGTCCCGCAGGTGAGCCCCTGCCCCTGGGCGCCCGCGGAAGCTTGGCCACCCTCCCTCCGGGCAGGTCGTGAGCGTCGCGGCAGAGCCGGCTCGGCCTGCAGCCGCCGCCAGGGCGCCCGGGGTGCGTGACTCCGCACCGGCAGGCGGGCCGCCCTGGGGCCGGCGGAGGGGGCGGGGCTGGGGGCGGGGCTGGGGGCCGGTGCGCGCGTCGGGGCGGGCCGGGGGTCAGGGGGCGGGGCCGGGCCGGGGGCCCGGGTCGTGGTCGGCAGGTGGGCTGGGGTTCACGTAGGAGGACCCGCGCCCAGCAGGTGCCCCGGCGCCCTGCCCTCCCCCGCCTGTTGCAACAGCTCCCTAACCGCTTACCTGCAGTCTCTGCGGCCGCAGGTGAGTGATGTCAGTGCCCACCGGCCCCTGTGGCTCCCGGGCCCACGCTCTTCATGCGGAGCCCCAGTGGTCGAGACAGAAGATTCGCGGTGGTCCCTCCGGGTTGGGGTCTGGGCTTGGATCGCCAGCTGATCTCTCCAGTCTTCATTTCTGACGTTGTGGGATTTTTAGGGCAATGAGCTTCGCAGTCCGCAGTTGGCATCTCTGCTGAATCACGCTGAGCCCAGCCGCAGCGTTTCTTTAGCAGGAGCAGTATTGACCCTAACACAGCCGCCCTTACCTCTAGGTTGGGACCCCGTCACTCCGGGAAAGCCTCAGCCCACTAACGTGGCATTCAGGGCTCTGGGGGCATCTGTACCCTTGCCTAGCTCCCCAGCTTCTTCGGCCTTTTTTAGCTTTAGCGTTTTGTCTCTGGCCTGCTGAGCTGTCCTGTCTCGGTACCCTGTGAGCAGGTTTTCTCCCCTGCCCGGGCTGCACCCTGCTTCTCCCTTCCCTGCTCTTCTTCTTAAGGTCTAATGGTTCTCAGCCTCGCCTGTCTCTAATTTGAGCTCATTTTTTTGTATTTCTCAAAATATACTTTCTTGACTTTTTTTAAAAAAAAAGATTTTACTTTACTTACTTACTTCTCTTATTCATGAGAGACACAGTGAGAAGGAGAAGCAGGCTCCCTGTGGAGAGCCCAACACAGGACTCGATCCCAGGACCCCAGGATCACAACCTGAGCCAAAGGCAGACACTCAACTACAGAGCCACCCAGGCGCCTCCTTAGTTTTTTTTTTTTTTTTTAAGATTTATTTATTAGGGAGAGCATACATGCACGAGTGTGGAGGAGGGGCAGAAGAAGAGAGAGAGTTCCAAGCAGACTCCACGCCCAGTTGGAGCCTGACCAAGGGGCTGGATCCCAGGACCCTGCGATCATGACCTGAATCCAAGTCAGACGCCCAACCCACTGTGCCGCCCAGGCGCCTCCGCCTTCTTGATTTTTCCCCATCCCTCTTCCGCTGTACCCCTAGCACCTCTGTTTCCACATTGTCTGTCTGGCTCCCTCACCTGAATACCAGAGGGTGTTCAGCAGGAAGCTCTGCGGGAAGGGGATCCGGGTTCCCCGTGTTGGTATCCTAGCGTCTGCTGCAGCATAAATGTTAGAGTGAAGGCAGTGAACAAAATGGGTTTGTTTGTTTTTTTAAGTCAGAAAATGCTCCTTAATTGTAAATTTCATTTTAATAATGATCTTACTCTCTTTTTACAGGAATCCTGTAAAGCTCAGAAAACATGGTGAGTGATACACATGCCAGTAAGCTGTTGCCTGATAAATCCTATTGTTTGTACCTGTAGATGTGCATGAGAAAATTGGAATGGAAGGGAAAGGGGCTGGGATGGTGTCCTCTTCCTTACGCGTTTCCTCCCACACACTGAGCTTTGCCTGCCAGGTTGTTTCATGAGGTGGTCAGTGGACTTGCGGGAGCCTACTTCTGGTGGATAGGAATCACTTCCATATTTTTCCTTTGCAGTCTCGAAGATATGACTCCAGGACCACCATATTTTCTCCAGAAGGTAAAATGGAAGTTGTTTAAGATATTTCAAATAAAAAGATTTCTTTAGAATTTGACCGGGGTGGGAGGGTAATCTATAGACTTTATCAAAAATTTTATTAAGTTATCTCTACAGTCCGCATAAGGCCGCGACCCTGAGATCAGGAATCACATGCTTCACTGAGCCAGCCAAGCGCCCCCCTGCCTACAAACTTTCCTTTTAAATCCTTGCTAAGTTCGTTCTTCTTGTACTTTGGACTAATTGCAGTCACCAGGTTGGTCGCATGCTTCCTAGAAGGGTGAAAGCGGGACTCCTGTCCGTGGCCTGCCGGTGTTGGCACTGCTTCCCTTAGGAGCGCTGCTGCTTGGTGACTCACTGCTTGTGTCTTGTAGGTCGCTTGTACCAAGTTGAGTATGCCATGGAAGCCATTGGACATGCAGGCACCTGCTTGGGAATCCTAGCAAACGATGGTGTTCTGCTTGCAGCAGAAAGACGCAACATCCACAAGCTTCTTGATGAAGTCTTTTTTTCTGAAAAAATTTATAAACTGAATGAGTAAGTGAGATCTTAGGGAAGGGAGTGTAAAACGTCTCACTTTCTCACATAAGTGCTATTGTACGTATTTCGGGAGGGCTATCCCTTGACATGGTATAATTGAACAGTTTGTGTTTATCTCTGGGGATTTGCTTTTAATTTATCGTTAAAACCTCTTTGGGGCCCAGGAACCACATGTTTCTCTTTTTAAGTACAGAACGAAGCACTCAGTGGAGGCCCCACATCGTGAAGTGACAGGAGCCCAGGCTGGTCATCACTCAGATCTGGGTTGATTTAGAAGCTGTGTGACCCTACGCTGCTTGTTTAACTTCTCTGGGTCTCAGCTAGAGTAGTCATGGCAGTTCAGTGAACCATAATGAATATAAACTCGCACAGTGGCCTGTGGCAGGGCCTCAGAGCCTTGTTCAGAATGGCTACTCAGGAATTCTGTGGAGTTGTGCTGACTCTTCCCAAATGCCAGGCCTCCCCGAGGTCGGGGAACAGTGTAGCCAGCCCCGTACACCTGGGGACGTTTGTTACAGTCAGCGGTGCAGGACCTTGCGGCTGGCACGGGGCATTCCTGGGAGGCTCATCCCAAGGGGTGCTGTCTGTGCACAGCGCCACTGTCTGCTGGCTCGCTGGGGTGACCCCTTGGGATCCCCGGTCCTGGCCTCGTCCTGGCTGCCGGGCAGACTCATAGAACACCCTTCCCGCAGGTCCCTCCCCCTTTACCCCCATCATGCCGGGCTCAGATACAGGAGGACATGGAGCAGCCTGTTTTCCTGTCTGTCGACGAGTCTTGGGCTCACTTTAGCTGCTTTAGTGCTTGTCTCTTGCCTGTGCCCAGGGTGGTAATGAGAAATACATCTGTTGAAGAATTTGTGGGAGCCTTTATTTTTCACGTGGAATGACATCAAGTTGAAAGTCTGTCATCGTGCAGCTCCTGTGGAGCATCGTGGTGCATTTGTGACAACTTGTACCTTAGTGCTTATGAGCACCTGTGGCAGACCTCTCCCTGCTTACCGATACGTCTGTCCTCTCCTCCAGGGACATGGCTTGCAGCGTGGCGGGCATAACTTCTGATGCTAACGTTCTCACGAATGAACTGAGGCTCATTGCTCAAAGGTATGGTTGTAAATAGCAAGATACATAAATGAGTGAGTTTCCATGTTTCTGAGGAGAACTGCGAAGATCTAAATCATTTAAAAAGTCTATTCATTGAAAACTAAAGTTTTTTTAAACCAAAGCTGTAAAACCTTAAGGGTATTAGGCTGTGGCTACGCTCTCCCCGCCTCTTCAAATTACAGGTGACGGTGGGGTTGTCCCTGTGGCACAGATCTCTTTCAGAGGGTATTTTGCTTAGGGCGTGTCTGTGTTTTAGAGAAAAGTCTATTAAAATGCCAATTTCTTTATTGTAGGTATTTATTACAGTATCAGGAACCAATCCCTTGTGAGCAGTTGGTCACAGCACTGTGTGATATCAAACAAGCCTATACACAGTTTGGAGGTACTGAATTTTTTGAACATTGTATTCCAAAAAGTTAAACCATCTTATGAATCATAACCTTTTTGAGATAATAAAAAGAAATTGAAAATGAAATGAGAAAATACTTCGCATAAATCCCTGCTTCACCAATTTACTGGCTTCCACTATGTAGATTGTCCTATGTTTTATTAATAGATGCTGGAAGGCCATAATGCCATTTTCAAATCTGGAAACAAATTGCATTTTACATAATAATGAAATTCAGCACTGGTCCTCTGTGTCTTTATTCTTTTTCTTGGCTGTGTCCAAATCCTAGAGACAAAAGTGGAATTTTGGCTGGAGCTTAGCTGTGGTGTTCAGAAAACAAAGCAGTTTATGAATGCTTAACTTCACAGAGGACGCTTTGGTCCTGCTCGTGGGCTCAGGTAACCCATAGTGATACGAGATTCAGATGGCTGATACGTTGTTTGTCGTTGCTGTTAAAGGAAAACGTCCCTTTGGTGTTTCGTTGCTTTACATCGGCTGGGACAAGCACTATGGCTTTCAGCTCTATCAGAGTGACCCTAGTGGGAATTATGGAGGATGGAAAGCCACGTGCATTGGAAACAATAGTGCTGTGAGTATTTTGGGGGTTGCTATAAAATCTGCCAAAAGATCTAGTAACCCCCATAATTTTGAAGTAGCCATGAGTATAAACTGTTCTAGAATAGCTGCCGCACCCTTACTGTGATGTGAAAACATTGGATTTCTGTTGGTAACGAAGTCACAGGCACTGCTCATACTACTGGGACTTACTGTCTACATTTATAATTAAAGGAAGTGCTGATTTTCAGTGGGAAGTTTTGGAAATGGGATGTAATTATTGTTTACATCCTAGTTCTCAGACCCCTTGACTTATGTGATGGGCCCCTTGCAGGCCTGGGGAGTTCAGGTTACAGACCCCATTCATAGAGCGACAACCCCCTTGTCACCCCATCTGCCCTCCCTGCCCTTAGAAGTGTGGGTATTGGTTACAGTGCCCACGGTGGTTCAGCCATTATTATTCTGACCCGTCCATGTTCCAGAAATTTAAAGGAAACTCTTTTTTTGATTCTCCTTTATGTTTCATAGGCAGCGGTGTCGATGTTAAAACAAGACTACAAAGAAGGAGAAATGACTCTGAAGTCCGCACTTGCTTTAGCTATCAAAGTCCTAAACAAGACCATGGATGTGAGTAAACTCTCGGCTGAAAAAGGTAATTGGTGTCCACTCCTCCCTTTGGCTCACTTGAGTGAGAGAGGATTGAATGGCCTTAACCTGTTCCTGAGGGAGGATGCACGAGCTCGTGGGGTCCTGGGCCTGACCGTAAGCCCACACTACCCTCTGAGCACAAGGACTTAGGCCTGAGTCTTCTTGGTGCTCACAGACCTGTTTGAGGCAGATACTTTTCGTATCTAACTGACCAGCTCCTCGGCCGCCTGGTGGGTGTGTGTGTTTGCATACGATGGTGATGGTATACTTCATCCAGGGACGACTTCGCAGGAGTCGTGATGTCCTCTGTTCTTTTGAATCCACTGGTCTCTTATGTTATCCCATGTTTGCAGTTTTAAATACTTTATTTAGTATTTCTAAATAAGGATTAATAGATTGATTCAGTTTAGCATAATTAAGCTCCTGGTGTCCTTAGAAAATGCAGTCTACTTGTGGACTGCCCTCTGTGGTTTCTCCTGCTCAAAAATCCCTCCTTTGGTATCAGTTTACTTTTCTTGCCTTTGGTCCTGGAAAGACCTTTTTATACCTATGTTTTGAAGAGTTTTCAATGGTCCATGAACAATGAATGTGATTACGGGTTAGAGACTGACTGCACCTCCAGGGGCTCCAACAGGGACATGGAGGTGCCTTCTGGTCATCACAGCTAATGGCCGGCCAGCTAGAGCCAGTGGTTGGTGACAGTGGCAAAGGGCGAGTGGGAAGGTTGCGGGGGGTGAGGAGGACACTTGGGAGAGTCGACAGGAACGTCCCAGGATGGAAGGTGCTCTCTTGCTGTCAGGACGCGTGAGAGCTCCCACAGGAGTATCTGTGCAAGAGTATGCGTGAGCGTACGTGTGCGAGCCTCCCCCCCCCCCCCCCCGCGTGTCCCTGGGAGCAGCGGCACAGCTGGCAGCGGGCGCCTGGGCTGGGGAGCCATTGGCGAGGTGCCCGCCCATAACGCAGGCGCGCGCTCACTTGCAGTGGAGATTGCCACCCTGACGAGAGAGAACGGGAAGACGGTCATCAGGGTCCTGAAGCAGAAGGAAGTGGAGCAGCTGATCAAGAACCACGAGGAGGAAGAAGCGAAAGCGGAGCGGGAGAAGAAAGAAAAAGAGCAGAAAGAGAAGGAGAAATAGGAGGAGAACCCTGGGCTCTGGCGGCTCCAGGGCCGTGTGCCCGCTGCCCGGCCACCCTCACCCGGTGGGCAGACTGGGGCGGGCACCAGTGCGGGCCTGCCGTCTCTGTCCGGTTAAGTCTTGTAGTGACGCTCGGTCATGGTGGACGCGCTTGTCCCTCCCTGTGTTGGTAATAAAACTTGGAAAGAACCGCCGTGGTGAAGGGGGGCGTCTGGGGCAGGAGCCGTGACTGTCGTGAGGGGGCCCTGCTCACGGGGGGGCCCCATTGGTCAAGTCCAGGGACACAGGATCCTCCCCGTTGTGGTGCTGCCGGCCGGTGGCGGCCACGGGGTTCGTACCGGACATGAGCACGTCTGTGAGTCGTTGGCAGAGTGCAAGGCGACTACGGGAAACCCCATGTGCCCACCAGCCGGCGTCCAAGGCCGCGCCCTGACCCCGTGCGTCCCTGTCACATCTGTGTGCAGGACCTGCCCCCTGGGTTCCACCCCTCCGCTTAGGTGGGCTCATGGGGTGGTGGTCAGGCCGAGACCCCCGCTCCGTGCTCAGGGGTCCCTCCTCAGGCTGTGGGGGCCCTGGGCGGCTCTATCTGCAGGGACTGGTCTGAGCGGGGCGGGGGGGGGGGGTGCGAGGGCCAGGCCGGAGGAAGAGTGGAACCAGGGAGGACAGCAGAGGAGCTGTGATGAGAGGGCACTCACTGCTCGCATGCCGTCCTCCACCACCAGGTGCCCTGACCCCGTACCGGGGAGCCCCCTGCACCCCGCAGCCCGGCCATGGGTGCTGTGCAGCCCCCTGGGTGCTTGTCAGTCCTGCGGACACACGAGGACCACACGGAGCTCGTGAGACATCCGGGGCGGCTCCCCCGCGGCTGCTGGTCCTGCCTCGGTGTTCTCCGGCCCCTCTGACGTACACCTTCTAAATCCGAGGACCCCGTCACTGTGGGCAGCTGGCCGTGGCCGCCCTGGGGGCTGTGTCATCCCCAGGAACGGGCAGGTGCTGCACAGCTCTTGACAGGGGGACCAGGTCGGCCTCGGTAGTGCCCGTCAGCGGGCTCGGATCGCCCAGTCCGTACGTGACCTGTTCTGTGTTCTGTGTCTGTGTGATGGATGTTGATCCGTTAATCTCATGGCCGACCCTGGACGCACCAGCTTGTCCAGCGCCCAGTGTCCCCCTCTTCCCCCCCATCAGGTAGCACGGCCTTGCCCTCTTGGACCGCGGCGGCAGGGTCAGCAAAGCACAGAGATATGACAAAATGGCACAAACAGGCCGAGAAAAGGAGCTGAAGCAGGCAGCTCCCCAGGCGGCTCAGGTGTCACGGCTGCGTCTACGCGTCCACCGCGACCATGAGGGCACCGTCCGCGGGCGTGGACATGGGTGACCAGCCAGCCTGCAGGTGCAGGAGGTTGATGGAGAAGGGAGCTGGTACATTGACAGGCCTTGCTGGCCCCACCATCAGCCAGCGCGGTCTCATGCCGGGTCTCCCCCCAGTCCGCCTGCAGCACAGCAGCCAGAGGGAGCACCAGCCCTGCCGTCGCCCTGCTCCGTGGACGCCACTCCCCCCACACTGGCCTCCCAGGCCCAGCCCTGGCTGCCTGCACGCCAAGGGAGGGAGGACGGCTTGTTCCTTCTCACAGCCCGCCTCCCATCCCCCTGCCTTCACAGCCCTTCCCTGGTCTCTACCCTGTGGCTCCTCCTCCAAGCCGCCCTCCCCACCGCATGCTTACCCTCGCACGCTTACCCTCCGTCTACACCACTGGGCGCAGGCTTCCAGAGCAGGGACTGGAGCCCCGATACGGGGATTGATGCAACGGAAACGGGCCTGCCCCAGGCTTCACGTACTGAGGAGCGAGTGAATGGCCCTGGTCTGCTGGAGCCACGACCTCAGGTACCCCCTTTCCTCCCAGGTCAGTACCGCTGGTGGGTTTCCTATATTCCGAACCCCCCCCCCGCCCCGCCCTGTCAGCATTTTCCTGAAGTTACAACAACCGTAGGGGCTGTGGGGGAATGAGAGCGTCGTGCATTTTAAGCACCTCTGGAGCAAGTACTCAGATTCCCCCTAATGATGGAAAAATCTCAACATATCTTTTTCCGAAAGATTTATTCATTTTTTTAAAGATTTTTAATGTATTTATTTGAGAGAGAGCACATGGGGGGGGCCGCAGAGGGGGAGGGAGAAGCAGACTCACTGCCGAGCAGGGAGCCCGACGCGGGACTCGATCCCGGGACCCCGAGATTGTGGCCTGAGCTGAAGGCAGACACTTAACCCCCTGAGCCACCCAGGTGCCCTAAGACATTATTTTTAAGTCAGTTCTCCACCCCACGGGGGCCTTGAACTCCCCCACCCCCCGCCCCAGATAAGCATCATCCAGTCCACTAAGCCAGTGCTGGATCCTGCTCACCCTTTTACTGAAATGACTTCACGCTATGGGAAAAGTGAGGGGTGGGGGCCCCTCTACCTGGTTCCTCCTGGTGGCGAGGGCCCAGGTGAGCTCCGACTGACGGCCTCGATCTCTGCCCTGGGCCACCTGCTCACCTGCTCACCTGCTCGGTGGCCTGGATGTAGGATACAGCCCTTCCTCCAGCGCCAGGCGTGGCAGGAGCATGGGGATGGGGGGCGCACGGCTTTAAACCTTGAGTTGATGTCATTTGGGGGGAGTTTTAAAAACTGAACCGTGGGGGAGAAATCCTGTGTTCCGGTGTATGATTTCCTCCAGACTTTTTTCATCAGAAAATAAGCAAGACTCGAATTTCTCCAGTCTAGCACTTTGAAAGGTCAGTGGAAGCACTTGTGTTAACTGCAAAAATATTCCACGTTCTGAAAAAATATCAAAGTAGATTGATTTCTGTTCCTTTTTACTACGTTCCTGGTAATTTTAGGTGTAAGACCTGTCCTCAGGTTAACGTGCAGCTGTGCAGGCGGGAGGACTGTCGTCAGCTCTCTGCTGACGTGCACGCGCTGCACCCGCCGTGGCCGTGGCCATGGCCGGCTGCCTGAGCCTGGGTCAGGGCACAGCTTGGCAGGGCCGAGGGCCAGTGCTGTGAGCGCGGGAGTGTACACGGGGCGGCCCGGCTGCTTCGTAGGTCTGTGGTCTCTGCCCCGTGCAGTGCAGAAGACACGAAGGGTTTTTTTTTTTTTTCTTTTAAAGATTTTGTTTGAGAGCGAGCACGAGCAGGGGAAGGGATGGAGGGAGAAGCAGACTCCCCGCTGAGCGTGGAGCCCCACGCAGGACTCGATCCCATGGCCCTGAGGCCATGACCTGAGCCAAGGTCTAGAGACCCCCAGGCGCCCCAGGTCTGAGTGAATGAGAGAAACAAGTCCAGGAGCTGGAGCAGGTGGGAAGAGCCAGGTGGGGGCTGCAGCGATGGGAGGAAGGAGGAAGGAGCAGGAGAGCAGGACCAGGGCCTCCACCCAGGTCGGCATGACGTCTGCTACCCTCCATTCTGTGCTGGTGGGAAGAGCCCTGTAGAGTGTACGGCCCCTGGGAGGGGACCCACGTCAGACCGCGTGTTCCCCTTTTCCTTCCAGATGGTCTTCATCTGCATCCGTTCTCCGTCTGCCCATCTCCTTGCCCAGCTTCCTACGACCGCGCTTAGAGCAGCCACGTAGGAGTCCTTGGCACCTGTGTCCAAGCCTCCTCGTGTCAGCATCACACATACCGAGATACTCCCCACGCCGAAGTACATAAACGTCCTATACAGAGACCCTAGCTTGAAAGGATCCGTGCACCGTGATATTTATAGCAGCATTTTCAACAATAGCCAAACTGGAAGCAGCCCAATAAAGCTGTGATTTGTATACACGATGGGGTGTTACTCAGCCGTCAAAAATAAGGACATCTTTCCCTTGAAATGGCAGGGAGGGAGCTGGGGAGTATTATGCCGAGTGAAGTAAGTCAGAAAAAGACAGATGCCACATGGTTTCACTCGTATGTGGAATTCAAGATACAAAATAAGCAAAACTGAGAACCCGAGAAACAGACTGAACGCAGAGAACACCGTCCTGGTCACCAGGGAGGAGGTGACGTGGGGGGAACAGGTGATGGAACAGCTGACGGGGAGGAAGGAGGGCACCTGCCCTGCCGAGTACTGGGCGGCGTAGGGACATGCATGACACTGAATGTAATGCCACTGGAAAAAATATAAAAATAATATGCTTGGCATGTATTTTTTAAAGTATTTAAATTAATGCGACTTTAATTCTGTCTTTCAGACTAGTTTTCTTGAATGAATTCAGAATTAGATAAAATGAAGTCGTTACTTTCTTATTTTAGTGACCGCTTTGCCGATACATGATTACGTACCATGCAGTGCGCCCGTTCAGAGCACATGGTTCGGCGGTTGTGGTTTGCTCATGCGGCTACGCAGCCAACACTCCGGCTTCAGAGCGTTGCCATCACCCAAACCAACACTGCGCCCCTTCGCCCGCGCCAAGCCTCCCAGCCTCGAGGGCTCCCTGTCCTGCGGGTTTGCCCCTGGGGACACGTGGGGCGCTGCAGTGCCTGCGCCCGCAGCCTGGCGTCCCCTGTCACCCTAGTGCATGCCGGCAGCCCACGGCCTCCTGGACCAGAAAGCGCCAGGAAGCCTTTGGTTGCTGAGTAACGCCGCGTTGTGATCAGAGAGCACCAGTCGCTCATGGGTTGGTGGCACGAGGGTGGCTTCCTTTGGGGGCTGTTGTGAGCGGCGCTGCTACGTGTCCCGTACTGCGTGGACTCAGGCTCTCACTTCCCTTGGGTGTGTGCCCGTGGAATCGCTGGGTCCTACCTTGGTTTATTTCTAATCCACCTTTGTGCCAGACGTCCGTATCAGTGATTTAGATTTTAAAGACTCTACTCTCCCGTGTTCTCCTAAGAGCCCAGCGTAAGTGGAACCCGGACTGACTCCTGAGGGCACGTGGACTTGTGCGTTACCGCTGAAGCAGGTCTCCTGGTTGGACGGGACTTTTCATTCCCTTCATGTCGGGCGGAAAGACTGTCGGGCGCCTTGCTGCTAACCCTGGGAGGCCAGGCCGCGCCTTTGATTCTGCATCCAGAGCCTTATGTAAGAACATTCTCTGAAAACTCTGAATCCTACAGAGTGGGAGACTCCAGGGTAAATTGTCTCCTGAGTCCTGAGCAATCCAGTAACTTCCTTTTTCTGATGATGAAGCAGTGTGTGCTTACTTTGGAAAATACACAACAGGGTAAATAAACATCG